AAATAATGATTTTGGAAACCAGATAGATAAGAATAAGATTGCACTGTGGAGTGATCCTTTTGTATGCTGTGAGTATGTACTACTCTCATTGGTTAATAATAAAGCTGTTTGGCCCATGGCAAGGCAGGGTAAGTTTAGGCGAAACAATCAAACTGAGGACTGGGATGAAGAGGGGTGGGATCGAGAAAGAATCGAGCCGGCTGCCCAAGAAACAAGATGCCAGAGAACCAGTAAAGCCATGGACCACGTGGCAATACACAGATGAATAGAAATTGGTTAATTTAAATATAAGAGCTAGTTAAAAATAAGCCTGAGCTAATGGCTGAGCATTTTGTAGTTAATATAAGCTTTTGTGTGAGTATTTTGAACCAGGTGGTTGGAACAGAAAACTCCACCTCCACTTGCAAGATTGTCAATAAATTAGTTTTAATTGATACCATTGAACTTCGTGTCTTTGTTTTCACTGTATTTGATACCATCTGTAAACTGTTCCCATGTGGTTCATCAGAGAATCAAGGCTAGGGTAACTCTTTCTTGCCATTTCATGGGTACCATCTGAGTGTGAGGGACTTGGGGGTAGTTGAGGACAGTAGTCATTTTTGATGCTACAGCCCGAAAAGTCTTCCAGGCTAATCCTTCAGCAGACAAGTCGAACATGGGAACACTGGCATTGCAATTTCTTTTAAAGATTCAGAATTGTACCTCAACAATCCTGGCTGTGTCCCAGAACATAGTTCAGAAGGCTTCAATGAGACAGAAATCCCCCTTGAAGGGGAACAATGCTTCTCAGGGACTCAAGGGACAGCCCAGGTGAACTTTGGCACCTTCAGTAAAATATAACTTGAATATGCATATTCTCATAATTTTGAGTAGCTAAAATGCCCATAGGGCCAGCGAGCTGGCTTAATTGGTGAACGCACTTGCCAAGCAACAAGTGTGGTCACCTGAATTCCATCCTTGGGTCCACATGCTGTAAAGAGAGAACCGACTCCCACTAGGTATTCTCTAACTCAAACGTGTGGACTGCGGCACCTATGTACACAGACGCATACACAAACACACGGACACACTAAACATGGGTAATAAAATTTTAATGCCCAAGCAAGCCAAGTGTGGTGGTTCATGTCTGTAATCCCTGCATTTGGGAAGCTGAAGCCAGAGTGTTGCTATGAGCCCATGTCAGTGAGCCAGACCAGCCTAGGCTACAATGTCTCAAAACAAACAAAACAAAACAAAACAAAAACAAAACAAAACAAAAACAAAAAACCATCTAAACAATCAACAATAAATTTTAAACTGTCTCACACACAATCTGATTTACAGAAAGGAGTAATAGAGTCTCGGTGAAAACTAAGCACCATTCTGATTTTAACAATGGTGGGCGTGGTGCCTCAAGCCTGTAATCCCATACAGCAGGACTGAGACCAACCTGGGCCACAGAGCAGTTCTAGGCCAGCAGCAGGTATAGGCTAGTGCTACAAAGATTCTGTCTCAAAGACAAAACAATGGAAAAAGGATGCCTCAGGTCACTTCTCCTCACTGACATTTTTTGCACTTGACTTTGACAACGGCAGTACAGACATGGCTCACAGCATGCCTACAAAACAATGCTAATAGCCCCTCTGAACACACAGCCACTTGAAGATAATCAGATATAATTTAAAATTCTGCTACCAAGCCACCCTGGAGTGCCTACATGAACCGGTTGCTGTTTCATTTTACAGTAATAAAAATAGTCACTGTTAATGCCTAAGGAGTGTCAGTCTGTGTCCTGAGATTCCCATTTATAAAACTCATCAGCCCTTAGGAAAGCAATAGCATACACTGAATCTCTTGCTGTCATCAGGGGGCTCTGAGAACAGAGAGGCAAGTTAACTTGCCCAAACTCCCACAGCTAGTAAGTACAACCACCAGGCAGTTGAGCTCCATTTCACCATTGTGCCCAATTGCCTGGGTGTAAGGTACTTAATAGGAGTCAATCCATCTGCAGTAATGGAAATCCAGGCCAGTTATTCAAAAATCAACAGGTGCAACTTCTACATCACACTTTCACTAAGCCGACTGCTACTAATAAATGGCCCCAAGTTGGTGTAGGGGAAGGTGCATTTGGCATGACCCTCTCATCCCTTACCAATGGCAGTAATCGTCAGGAGCTGTTCCTCTGAGCCTGGCCGGCCTCTGTTCTGTACAGACCAGCCTCCTCCTCTTCTGTGCGCTCTGGTCAAATGCCCCTCCCTTCGCCCATACTGTGACTGATTCGTCAGGCCTGTGCCTTGCTCTGACGGGGCAACGTACAACAAAAGCCTGGCCCCAAGACAATCTGGAACACATTTCTCATTGTGAATTAGCTAAGATTATCACTAGGATAAAGTGACTCATTTTAGAGAATACATAGGTCCCTGGAAATGTATATAGCCTCAGAACACCAGGAATGCGAGAGACCTGAGGTCAGACCAAGCCTGTGAAACTTGCCCTGTGCCTGACAAGGGGAGAATGGAGCACCTCGTCCCACTTGCTGTGTCTGGGAGTGGGGCCTTCTTGGTCCTGGAATACAGAATGGCTCTGTTCCCCTGCTTCTCTTAAGAAGTTCTCCTGTTTTATACTCTGGAGGAGTGACGTTTTGTATTTATCCAAGACAATGCTTATCACAACTTGTATTGTTGCATGCACAAATATGATGCAGTTGAGAGATTCCTTTGTTACTATGCCTTCTTGCATGTGTCCTGAAAAGCTATCAGGGTGGAGTCAATGACTATCTATATCACCTTTTTGTCTCCAGAACTTCTCACCAAATCAGGGGGCTAGTAGGTTCTTACAAATGTTTACTGAATAAACAATGACTGAATATGTTCACAAATAAAACACAGACATGTGGGCTGGTCAGCTACCTTCCCCCAAGTTCCTGGAAGGTTCCTCAGCTAGCTTTAATTCTATCTCACTTCCTTTATACTTTGCTAGGTTATCTTGTTATATTTTATGAATCCTTGTAAACTGTCTCAAATCCCTTGTGAAACAAGGTAGGCATTAAATATATTTTTCAATGTCACAAATATATTTTAAACTTTAACATAAATCCTCCACCAACACACAAACACATACACATGACCATCTGTACACTTTAAAAATAGCTGTGGTTTGTCTGAGCCTCATGGTACAAGCCTGTCATCTCAACACTTGGAAAACTGAGACAGGAGGATGATGAGTTTGAGGTCAGCCTAGGATACATATTGAGAACTTATCAAAAAAAATTAAGAATCTGAGTTTTGCTATCTCCAACAATATAGTAATGTTTAAAGTGAGTTCTACCCCAGGCCCAGGGCCCATGAACGTAATGGTATCTATACAAGGTTCGGTAATAGGTCTGGGACAAGCCCATTTCCAATCAGACTGGGTGCTTTGATGGACAAGAACGAACATGGGGCTTTCACTGAAACTGTTGTAGATTTTGGATCAAAGAATGATTAACCTGTGGGTTTTTAAAACGTACTGTGCCGTCTTCACAGTGAGGAGTTTGTCACTACTTGGACCTCAGGTAGGGAGGAGAGAGGGTGCTAGGCAAGGTCCTGGTCCAAAGGCACCAAGCAACATCTGCCCACTTTACATAATGAAGAGCAGAAGGCACTCACCCTGGACTGGGGGTGTAGCTCAGCGGCAGAGCACCTGCTTACTGTGCTCAAGGGGTGCCATCTCCAGCACCACCAAGCAGTGTTTTGAAAAGAGCAAAAAATATCCAACAGTCGGACTCTCTAACCCCAGTTATCCTCATTCTGGGAGGGCGGGGGTAGCGCAATTCTGACATGTTGGCTGCTTTCTCCGGTCATAGTCATTTAAGCACCTTTACGCCGGGTGCTGGCCAGGTATTCTTTCCGGACGTGAAACATAACTCGTAAATGCTGTTCCATGCAAATACCGCTCAAAGCGCAAGTTAAACGCATGATGGCCCCAACCAGCTCCAATGCAGCGGAAGGAGCTGAGGCACCCTCTCCCTGTCCCTGTCCCTCTGCTCTGGCAAGGATGGAGAACCAGCCCTTCCTCTCCCAGAGTCAGAAATCTCCACACAAGAACCTGAGGTTTGATTTCTATTATTCATAAGCTCATCCGAGACGCTTAGCTCTTGATGACAAACTGTCAAAGGAGGAGTGGGCATGAAGAGAAGGGTGGTAATGATGTGTGTGTCACAAAGACAGTTTTTAAAAGAATTTGACAGTGTGGGCTGAGACTTGCCTTTTTTATGTGTTTATCTGTTCACTTCTGACAGGGGAGGGAGAGTACGGGTAGAACGGGCCTGAAAAGCCCAGACAATAGGCCAGTTGCAGGCCTGACTGGCATCCTAAAGCAGTCGCCCTGCCCTACCCTGCCCTCCCTTCCCCCAACACCTGGCAGGCTGTGGTTGTGATTTCAAAACAAGTAACTGCAGGACCCTGGACCCAGAGTGGCCTTCTCTGCTTCCCCCTGGGGTGCAGATGGGGAGGAGAGGGAACAGGAGAGCAAGGAAAGGTGGGCACTAAAGATGAACTAGCTGGTAGCACCTCCTCAGGGACAGTGGCCTCCCCCACTCCACCCCCAAAGCTTTGGGACAACATAAAAACCCCAACCCTAGGCGTCCAGATGTCAATCTCCCATCTTCTGCATCTGCCCTGCCAACCCCACTGCATGCAGCCAGGCGGGCGCATCTTGTGAATCTGGACCCCAGTGCGCTCAGCTGAGCAGGCGAGCATCCTGCCTGAATCAGGCAGGGCGGCGGCTCGGCTCGGGAGGCCCTCCGAGAAGGCTACACCAACAGGCATCACGGACCCAGGAATACCCTATGTCCGCATGCAGGCCCATCTCCAGAGCTCAGTGTGACAGATCCTTAGAGCCGCAGGTGTACCCAGGCGTCCGCTCCTGCGCGGGCGCAGCCACTCCCCGGCTGCAGCGGAGCTCGCCGTCATTCTGTGGCTCCAGCATCCTGGGGATCCGCCCGCCGTAGTGCCCACCCTGCTCCTTCTTTGGTGCCCTACCTCGCACGCGGCGGCCTCGCATCCATCCCCAGGAGCCCCCAGCACTGCTGGGCGGTGTTCTTCGGCTCGGGGACCCGCTTCCCTGGCGCACAGCTACTCTGCTGCGTGGCGCTTCCCGCGCATCCCGCAGCTCCGGACAAAGGCCCTAGATCCGCGTCCCCGCGACCAGCGCTGCAGTCAGAGTCAAGTCCAGAGCCCGCAGGAGGCTGGAAGAAGTGCGAGCTCCCGGCAGTGCGCGCTGACAAAGGGCCGGACGAGTGCGCAGCGCCCCCTCCAGAGCCCGGCTCACTGCAGCGTCCCCGCCCGCCCGCGCCCTGCAGCAGCCTTGGCCCAAGGCAGAACCTGCCCCTCTGGAGAAGCCCCGAGTAAGCCACACTTGTCTCACACTCAGGGTATATTTTATTTTTATTTAGGGCCTCAGAAGGACATCTTGCCTTTGGGAAAGTAACTTTCAGTGTTGCTAGCTAGTGACAACGGGATGACCAAATTCCTAACTAGATTGATTCTGATTCTGACCCCCTCTTCAACTAGCCTGGGGGCTCACTCTTACATCATGCCCTGCCTCTGCCTCCCCTGGCCCCTTGCACACCTTCCTATCCCCTCCCTGGAGAGACCCCAGTGGCTGAGTGGGGAGCCAACTTTAGACCTGCCACTACCCAGCACTGTGACCTTGAGGACCCCACCTAACTCTGTGAGCCTGTCTGCTGCTAGAAAGTGACCCGAATCTAAGGCATTTGTCACCTAGGCCTTTTCTAATGTTTGTGGCAGGATTGGAAAATAAGATGTCCCAGGCAATCAGGGCCTTACACCTCCAGCCTGCTTCCTCCAAACCCCCTAAATGCTATTCACTCCCGAAGCTTTTAGAAGCGTGCCTGTCAAAATGATCCGCCTCCGGAAAGCCTCTGGCCACTGATGTCAAACCAGACCCGGGCAGCTCTGCTCTTCTGAAGTTCCCAACAGCACCCCTCAGGGGCCCAGCACAGTTAGCAGCGCCCAAATCTCCGGAAGTGGCCCAGGAACGGACATTTGTATGGGCCGGAAGTTGATCTCAGGTGTTTTGTTTGTTTATCGCATTCCACATTATTTTACAGCATCTTTCATTGAATTTGGAAGTTGCTGTCTTGGCTAGGCTGACTGGCCAGACAGTAGCACAAATGTGGAAACACATGGTGCCATGTTTGGCTTTTACTACGGTGTTGGGGATCAGGACTCAGGTCCTCATGCTTTCTCAGCAAGCATCTTACCTACCCACTGTCGTAGTAAACATGATTAGCTTTCTATAGTCTAGGGCAGTGGTTCTCAGCCTTCCCAATGCTGTGACCTTTTAATGCAGCTCCTCACATTATGGTGCCCCCCACCATTAAATTATTTCATTGCTACTTCGTAACTGATGGGGGCATGCCTTTCTGTATGCTGTGAATATGTGTTCTCTGATTGGTTGATAAATAAAGCCGTTTAACCTATGGCAAGGCAGCTTAGAGGCAGGTGGGAAATTCAAAGAGAGAGACAGGAAGAAGGCAGGGGGAGACACCATCCTGCTGCCCAAGGAGCAACATGTAATGGGACACAGGTAAAGCCACGGAACATGTGGCAATACATAGCTTAATAGTTGTGGGCTAATTTGAGATATAAGAGCTGGCTAGTGAGAAGCCTGCCATGGCCATAGTTTAAAAATAATATAAGCCTCTGTGTGTTACTTGGGTCTTGGGACTGCAGGGCTGTGGGAGCTGGGCGGGACCAGGAGAAAACTTTCAGCTACACATAACGGTAATTTTGTTACTGCTATGAATCATACTGTAAATATCTGCTATGCAGGATATCTGATACGCAAACCCCATGGGGGGGCTGAGACTCACAGGTTGAGAACTGCTGTCCTCCAGTCATCTGAGAGGAAAGCCTCTATTGCAGGATTGCCCAGATCAGATTGGCCTGTGGGCATGTCTGCGGAGTGATTTCCTTGATTGTTCATTGGTGTAGGGAGGCTCAGGCCACTGTAGGCAACACAATTCCCTGGGCAGGTGGTCCTGCCTGGCCTATATAAGAACTCCAGCTGGCTGAATGAACCAGCCTGCAACATTTCTCCCCGGTTTCTCCTTCCACTTCCTGCTTGAGTGCCTCTCCTGACTTCTCTTGGTAGACTGTGGTCTGGAAGTGTGGGTCAAATAAACCTTTTCCTCCCCAAGTTGCTTTTGTTCCTGGTGCCTGTCATGGCAATACAATGAAACTAGAACATTCACCACGCTATCCCCCTCACCCACACATATTTTAAACAAGGACTCTGACGATTCCCTTGCATACAGGCATATGAGAATGGGCATTTTAGGACTAGGACTGTGGTCCAGTGGTAGAGTGCTCGCTTGATACACATGAGGTCCAAAGTTCCAGTACTCAGTAGTACAGAGGTAGGGCAGGAGAGGACTGAGGCAAAGTGGAGACACCCACAACAACAACCCCACAACAGCTGGCAGGCATGCAGCTCAAATGTCAGAACAACTGTTTCTCTGCAGTTCTCCCTAAACCCACACATCATGCCCCTGGTCCCACACCTCTCCACCTGCACAGCTTCTCACACATTTCCATGTTGGTTTCTGTCACTCTGCATTAAAACTTAACAGAACAAGCCACAAGGATGAACTCTCCCCTCTCTGGTACCTATGTCCAGAGCTCCA